TTTTAGATATTTCAGATTAAACACAAAAAAAAAAATAGATACGTTAACGACTACTTCAAATCTAGAATATTATGGATTTCTACATTCGATTGACAATTAGTACGTTCTATCATTTTACTCTATAATTTTAATTAATAAATATTTTATTGTAATTTTAAATTAACACGATTCAACGTCTTATCATACTTTTTTTACGTTTTATATCGAATATTTTATATAAAAAATTGTACGTAAAATATTTAGTATTCTGTTTATTTCTAACTTAGATGATTAATATAATTCTATTTATTTTTAAGTGTTATATTTATATTTATTTCTCACTTAATAAAATTAATATGTTTGCATTTTTTATAATACATTTCTCATATAAGGTAATATGTCCAATACAAATTGAAAGCAATTGTCCAATTTTTTTTATTTTTCTTAATTATATACATCATTTTTGATATCAGAGTTAATGTTTAATTCATCGGTCTTTTTACAGTTATTTTCTACTCAATGTTAACACAATTTCAAAATCGATTAACATATTAAAGTATTTTTAAATGTTAGAAATAATTTATTTAATATCAAACTTTTGTGGGTCTGCGATTATTTCAACATTACAATTCATATAACTTTATAATATCGTCTTTATTTGAAATTATCTCTAGATTAAACTGTACTTACCCAATATTTTGGAGCAGAATGTTAATTGGAAAATTACGTTGAAAAATTATATTTTTTTCTTTAAATTAATTGCAGCAAACTAATGTTTAAGCAATATGCGCAATGTTAAAGGATGTAATATTCACACACTTTATTACAATCACTATGTATACCACGATATGGTTCGAAAGACCACGAAAGGCCGACTGATTCTCTGTACGTGTCATCGTGCGATAAATATGATACGTTAAAACAACAAACTTCTGAGGTCGATATATACATATATATATGTGTGTGTGTGTGTGTGTGTGTGTGTATGTTTGCGTACGAGCGTGCGTGCGCGCGTGCATATGTGTGTGCGCGCTTAAACATATAATTTTATTAATTAATGTAAAAAAATTAAAACGAAGCAATATATAATTCAAAATAAATAGATATTACATTTAGATGCACTTATCATTTAACAAGCATATTTATTTATGTATATTATTTATATATCTACATATTTATATTTTATATTATATCTAACAATAAAATTTATTTTAATATTATATGGCTATTTTCTTGTGACTATACAGGTAATAATATACATATAAATAATAATACATTAACTACTTCAGCAAGTTTGCAAAAATTTTAAAAACTTAAGACACGCAAACATATAGTTTAATAAATACAGAGGCATCGAATAGTAACTCATCTATATAGACAATAATTTAAAGCTGTAAAAAAATAGTTATACAATAAAAGCAATTATTCATATGAAGATCGTCACGCATGCAAAGCTGCCACTCTTTTATTCCCACTTCTTATAACGGATACTTTTACAATATTGTAACTGTCTGTTGATTTGATTGTTGCGAATTAATATCTTTCTTTTAATTTTGTCAAAATTCTGCATTATGAAATCTTAATATATAAGCTAAGCTTTGCACAATGAATTCAATATACCGTTTATATAATAAACAAGAAATTTAATATTCAGAAATTAATAAGAAAAAAAATATACTTTTTACTTTCCATAATAATATTTATTAAATTTATCTTTTCCATGTGATACCTGACTAATAAATATTCTGTGATAAACAATCCGGCAATTATGTGTGTATTAACCATCAACCTTACGTATTCTTTTTTTTTGCTGAAATGTATTATTTATTTAACGTATAATAACGTCGTTGTAACTTTATACAATTATTTTAAACAATATACCATATAATAATTATTAATATTGCATTATCATTTTATACATATATAGACATGTAAAGTTTTTTATTTGAATTAGATTTACGGAATATATGTTATTAATAATAACAATGAATGCTGCAGGTATAATAACATGACTAAAAGCGATAAAACAGATGTATATAATACACATAATAAACTTTTGTACAAAATATTTTCAAAAATATGTTACATTACTTTGGTCTACTGATTGTAAAATCTTCTAATATGTAGTTCAGGACAGTTTAATCCTTCGCATGTGCTTCGTAATAATATGTAAGAAACGATTAAGAAGATATTAGTTTTCTTGTTCATAAATAGAGCTATATTTTAAATAAAATTTAATTATATCAGTATCTTTTTAGTGTATAAAAAAGTATAGTGCAAGCCAAGTTTTTTTAAAATTTAGAATCTAAATCTCTATATCCTATAGCATACATTGACTCCCAATTCTATGCGAACTTTATCATCAAACCTTTACAATATGTTCATTCCTTCCACCATGGCGAAAGTCTGAAATAGAAAAAATTAAATTTTTAATTCAAAATTAGCATATGGATTTCTTGATCAAATTATTTGAACATTATAGATGATTCCTACAAGAGAATTTGATTAAGAAAAGTTAAAAATATATAACAATATTTACTTGTTTGTTGTCTAGTATCGTAATTAGCTGTAATTATTACATTTAATGATTATTGAGCTTGTGATAATATAATCGACGCGAAACTGTATTATAATTATAAATTTTTGTCAAAACGCAATTATATACATTATTGAAGTATAATTAGGAGTTACAAGAATATAAATAAAAACTTTCAAGATCATATATCGACATGGTTTAAATACGCAAAAACTAAATATCTAAGAGAAGCAGGTGTATATCGAAAAATTGTAAAAAAACATTAATTTAGACATAAATTAATGTTTTTTTTACAATTTTTTGATCATATAGATTTTTACGAATATTAATTACTTCTCTAATAATGTTTCCAGTGAGAAATGATGGTCGAATCGATGCTGATTCGTCGAATCGATGTCAAATTCGTCGAATCAATGTCGAATCGATGACGATTCGACCAATCATTTCTCACTAGGTTTAAAATCAAATTTAATGTCTGATGAAATTTAAGTTTTTATAAATTGCGAATATAAATTAATTATAATATCAACAATTGCTTTATTACTATATTTCATTATATTTATTTTTTGATTCTATATGTGTAATTGTATCGTGTTACAAATAATATATGTTTATAATAGTTTAAGAATTTTATTTTTTACATAAATTATAAATTGTTTACAAACACATACATTTTCTAATTTTTCTTCTATTTGTACCTATTATAAATATTAAAAAAAAAATAAGTTTAAGTTTTTTAATAATAATACAATAAGCTTATATCAGAAAAGATTTCGATTTATTTCATTCAAATTTTATTTATATTCTATAATGAAACAATTTTGTTGAGAAACTTCAGCTGTGCGGCAGATATCAGGCTTATGTAACATGATATAAAAAATTATCCTTCATAAATAAGCATGGCATAAATTTAATTTTATCGCATGTGTGCATTTCTTTTAGTACACAATTCTGAACGATATTATATCGATTTAAATTCTTTGTTATAACGATATGACAGTATACAATTAATATTTAAACAGCTATCATAGAGAGAATATTAACATACATACATATACATATATATGTATAATTTAATATATACATATGTATAATTTAATTTAATGTGCATGTGTTACGTAATAGCTCTCTTCTTATAGTCTAATTGATGAACTATAGAAAGTTTTTATAAGATATATTAATTCTTTTCGGATTTCAGTATAACGGATTTCTATCTTTTTTCGAACTTTTTGTTTACGTTGCAATACTGTTATACACATTTTATTTTGCTAAATTAGATTCGACATTTATTATTCAAAAATAGTAAGAAACGATAAATAATAGGAAGACAAATGAAATAATAAGATTATTTTTTTAATATTAAAATTCCTCGCGTTGATTGGAAGTAGCACATGTTCGACGCGAACTTATTGAAAACATCAATTTAATGATTAGCTTTTTTTACCTTCTATCTATGTTTACATCTCTTTTAAATGTAATTGTTAAAATAAATTAAATATAATTAAGTTAAAATTTCGATTTACACATTTTGCAAAATTTCTATGTTTTTTAAAAATATTAGCAATAAGCGCCGAATTATGTTGTACAATCTTAAAGTTATGTAATATAATTTTATAAATATTAATATTAAGATTAATATTTTATTTAAATAACTTTATTGATATTAAATGTGGATTACGCAAGAGAGGGGAGAGAGAGAGAGAAATAGAGAGAGAGAGAGTGAAAGAGAGAGAGAGAGAGAGAGAGAGAGAAATTGTATTATGTGATTTATTATAAACTAAAAAGATACTAATTAATCACAAATTTTGGAATATAACATCAAATGTGTCAAATATTTAATTATTGAGCATATAGCACATATAATTATAATTAATTTTTATATGTATAATGTTAACGTAATACTAATTTTTATAGCTATACTAACTTATTTTGTATATACATATTTATATTATAGTATTAATTATATATTTAATATATAATATGATCTCTATATATAACATACGTATAATATATAATATATAATATTATGATTTTATACACACACACATGCATATATACATATGTATTTGTGAGTGTGTGTATGCGTAAACATATAAGTTTATTAATTAACGTAAAAAAATTAAAAACAAATCATAATATATAATTAAAAAAAAAAATAGATAATATATTTAGGTCCCTTATCATTTGACAAACATATATATATATATATATATATATATATATATATAATTTATGTTTATACATTTATATTTTATTTTATATCCAACAATAACATTTATAGTAACAATATGTGGCTACTTTCTTGTGAAGATAAGCAATGTTCAACTACATTAAACAAATTCGCAAAAATGAAAAATTAATGCATGTAGTCATAAATATTTGTAAATATAGAGGCATCGCATAGTAATACATCTAAATAAACAATAATTAAAGCAATAAAAGGAATAGTACATACAATATAAAAAAATATTCATATGAAGTATATTTTCGCATGCAAAGATGCAATTTTTTTAATTCCACTAAAAGTAAAACCAACCATAATACTCTATCTGTCTTTTAATTTGATTGTTGCGAATTGTTATCTTGCTTTTAATTTTGTCCAAATTCTTCTCTAGGAAATCCTAATAAATACAAACAAAGATTTTCATAATGAAATCAATATATTGTTTACATAATGAAGAAAACAGACATAAAATTAATATTCAGAATTTAATAAAGGAGATAGAACAATATTTTTTTTCTTTTGCTTTCCATAATAATATTTATTAAATTTACCTTTTCTTTTTACTCCATAAATTATATGTGTATTGTCTTTCATCCATTCAACGTATTTGTTTATTTCCTAAAATGTATTATTTTTTAACATTATTAATAAACACCGTTATTATAACATTATCAAAATTATTTAAACATTAAATAATAATAATTAACACTGCATTGTTATCACATTTGTATACATATATAAACATGTAAAATTTTTACCTGAGTTAAATTTACGGAATATACGTTATTAATCATAATAATTAATGCTGCAGGTACATTAATTTGTCTAAAAACGAAAAAAATGTATATATAAAACACAAAACATTTTTACAAAATATTTATAAAAGTATGTCACATTACTTTGGTTTTACGTAAAAAAAAAAAGCATTTAATATGTTCTTCAAGATAGCTTGATTATTCGCTTGCTTCGTAATAATATGTAAGAAACTGTAACGAACATATTGATATTGTTCTTTAGTATAAGGTTTATATGTTAATAAGGGATTAATTGTATTAGTATCTTCACTGCAAGCCAAGTATTCTAAAAATTTGGCGTCAGATTCTTGAAATCCTCTAAAATACACTGCTTCTGTAATTAATCTGTCGGAATTTATCTTCAAAGCATTACAATATGTCCATTCCTTCCACCATGGCAAAAGTCTATAACATAAAAAATCAAATTTTCTTGTTAAAAAATAGCATACGGATTTCTTGATCAAATTATTTGAACCTTTTAGACGATACCTACAGGAGAATTTGATTAAGAAAGGTTAAAAATATATAACAATATTTACTTATGTTTTGAAGGATCTTGGAAATGTTGTTTTAATTGATTGTTGGCTTCTCTCCTACAAGTGATGTTATTAAGAAGACATGCCCATCTTGCAGCTTCTTGTCGTAAACATATTCTAAGTTCGTCTACATCACCAATTTCTTCATATTTGATACTTCTAAGTACGTGGTATAATATGTCACTTATTGTTTTCTAAAAATCGTTAAATAATATTTATTTGTTCATATTATAAATGTATTTAATAATAATTATATTTTTCTATTATTTTCCAATAGATTCTTAAAATTTTCTTTTTCTATGAAACAAAAATACATACAAATTCACTTATAGATGCTATTTATTCATTTACTACGTACGTGCAAATATATACATATGTATTATACGTTTACGCAAAATATGATTTAATTTGTGGGAAATGTTTATAATATTTAATAGATATTAAGTTTTATAACTATTTGTCAATCATATTTTATTTACAAATAAGGTATAAATTATATCTTTTTGAGAAATATATAATTAAATTTTTCTAACTACATATACGTTTTATATTTTTTAAATGACTAACATTAATATTAACTACGTAATAGTATGTAAATATTATCGTTGCTAGATATATTTTTCTAAGTTTTTAAATTATTTTGTGATTAATGCGTGTATATACAAATATTTCAACATAATATTTTCATTGAAAGCGTGATGGCAAATGTCGCCAATTTTTGGGACCTTGAATTTTTAACTTTTTTTTCATCGCAATAGTACTATTAGATGAAATATTAATTCCAGTAAAATATCAGATTGAGGATGACACGGTTCCGGAGATATGAAGAAGTGAATGTAATAGTTTATCATCTTTGACTAGAAATTATATTTGACATAAAAAAAGTTTGAAATTTGAGGTCCCAAAATTTGACCCTATTAATGGGCGAAAAAACAAATCTTTTTGCCATCATTTTTTGTTAATATTTACCGTAAAATGTTCAATTTTTTCTTTCAACACTGGAAAAGTACTA